ACAGGGCTGGGGCTGTGCGTTTAGGTTTTACAAAGCAGAAAATTGACATTCAACGTGCTTGGTTAGGCTAGTTAGTGATCACACAGCTAGTCTGGGTCGTCAGGGTCATGGAGCTGGTTGACGGCAGAGTTAGGCCCAGGGGCCCTTTTCTTCTGATTTCAGATCCTTCGCTTCTCAGGTTCTCTTTGCAAACCTCCTGAGCCCACACCTTGGGCTGCTGACTTCTTTCCCTGTCCCCTCTGATGTTCCTGAGAGAAGTCGAGCAGGCTTATTACCAATTAAATATCTGGATGTCTGAACTGATGAACAGGAAATGAGGCTGCTAATGCTCAGAGGAATGAAATTGAGATGCCTTTTTTTTTTTTTTTTTAGTAGAATTTTGGGCCAAGTGGCCTCTTTCTGTCCTTCCCTTCCCTGTGTCCTTCCAGTCTCCATGGAAACCCCAAATCAATGCGGCATATGTTGATTCATGTTTCTACTGTTACTAGGAAGCTACAGAGTGGAAATTGCTCTTAAAAGATTTGCGGAGAGCTTAAGCACGCTGACCAGAATTCAGGTCTAGCATCCGAATGACTATTTTTACCAAAAGCTCTTCATGTGGCACTATATATCCTAGGTGGCATGTTGATTAAGTAAACACCCAGGGCATTTGGGAAGAAATCTCCTTCTCCACTATCATGGCTTTTAAAAATATTACATTGCAGCCTTTAATTCCCTTCATCTTCAATGTAATCACATTTTTGTGTGATGATGCCAGGAGCTCCTTTAGCTCTTGACTAATTCCACCCTCCTCAGATGGGCTGTTGGGGATGATGGTCTGCCAACGCCGAGCTGCTGCCCTTGAGTGTCATTAGTGCTAGGCCGACTTTAGTCTTGACCCGGAGACTGCTGAAGTCTAATGTGTTTTTGCCCAAAGGAACTCTTTATAATTTTTCAGATTTTTCGTGAATGCAAAACCAAATCCAGCTGGCATCCCTTACATACCTGCTCTGTACGAGGCGGTGGGGATTGGTAGCTAGGGGAGTAGTCCTGGAATCTGTCTTTGCGGAGCGTGTAGTCATTTAGGAGAATCAGGAAACATAAGACACAAAGATGAACTTTAGGCCGAGCTGCGGGCTGTCAGGGAATCACAGCAGCGCAGTGGCGTCGGGATGGAGAGGTTCCTTCTGACGGAGGAAGTTCTGGGAAAGCTTTGGAAAAGAGGACTTTTAGCTTGGAGGTGCTGGGTTTGGAGGGGGAGCTGGGAGTTACCAGGCGGATACAGGGTGGGGACAGTCTGGGGAGAGGGAGCAGCTGAGGAATTGTGTGTGTGTGTGTGTGTGTGTGTGTGTGTGTGTGTGTGTGTGCGCGCGCGCACATGTGCATGTGTGTACAAACATGCACAATGACATTAAATGGATAAATGAGGCAATGTGGTTGGACTGTCAGACAGGACAAGGAGCTGCATGGAGCCCATCAGATTGTGTGGATGATCTGCTTTATGGTATCTGTTCATTGGGTACCTCATGCCAGAAGGCTTGTAGGGGGCTGATGAAACAGGCAGGAAAGTCAGTTACTTAGGAGGGTGGAAGGCCAAGCACTGTGCTGTGTGCCAAATAACCTCTGACACGACAGTGTCCATGGATGGGAGGGGGTGAAGTTGAGAAATTGCTCACAGATGTAATGGCAAGGTTTCAAAACCAATTCAGCAAAGGGATATGGAGGAAACGAAGCCAATACCTGTGCTTGTTACCCTGAGGGGCTGGGATGGAGTGACGCCATGAACACACAGAGGGTGCCTGCAGGGATGGAGGGTTAGGAGAGAAAGGCGGTTGCTTCAGAGGCAGGGGTGCCTGCGGAGTCTGAGAGGAGAGGGCTGTCTAGCAGACCTCTGGGACATTGGTCTGGAGCTCAAGAGAGGCAGGATGGAAACCCTGATCCTGGAGAGAAGCAATGGCCAGTGCCTGTAAGGGGTGGTTTCCCAGGAGGGTAGAGTGTAGACTGGGAAGAGCAGAGAGAGTCCGGGCGGCCTGAGAAGCCAGAGCTGGGCTTGTAATGGCGGTTTTCCTGGGGAAACCATGGGGATTAGCAACCAGGAAAGGATCCAGAGCTCTGGATTCCAGAGCAGGGGCTCCAAGCCCATGATGTAGAGTCCAAGTAGGTGCATGCCCTTCTCACTAGATTCCAACCTGCTCGCCTTTTCTGTTTCTCTCCTTCAGGAGGGGAGATGGTGCCAGAAAGCTTCCCCCTCAGTGCAGCTTAATCCCCCAACCCCGGAATTCCCTATGCACCTGGCTCTGTAGGAAGGACTATTAAGAGAGAGTCCTGCCCTGAAAAGGGGCTGAACTTGGTCTGTGTTTCTCAAACTAGGGTGCAGTGTGGTTACTCCTTGGTGTTTAGGAGTGTTTTGATTTTAAAAAAGAGTTTGGCCTGGGAGGTGTGGCTTTGTGGTTGAGCGTTGACTTGTGAACCAGGAGGTCATGGTTCGATTCCCAGTCAGGGCACATTCGGGTTGCCAGCTCGATCCCTGGTGTGGGGAATGCAGGAGGCAACTGATCAATGATTCTCTCTCATTGATGTTTTTTTCTCTCTCTCTCCCTCTCCCTTCTCTGAAATCAATAAAAATATTTGGTGGGGCAGGTGGGAGAAGGGGAAGGAAAAGTTTGAACTAATTTTAGTTTTCTCTTTTTATTCACGGCCGCTGTGTGTCCACACATTACTGAATTTCTGCTCTTTATATTCCTGTTCTCTTTTGCACTTTAATTAATCAACTTTATTAATTATTGTGTCTTTCTTTAATCATTTGGCTTAGCTTATTGACTTCCTGTGACTAGTGACTATATTATTGCTCTAAGGCTAATTGAAGGTTCTGGCGCCTGGTTAAGGTTGGTCGGCCTCTACTCGAGACTTGAGCCCATCTGCAGCCCTGACCTTTCTCCTTGGTGCCTTTCCATCCTGGATGCCTGCCTGAGGCCTGAAGGAGGCCTTATCCCACCAGGTTAGACTCCTCAGAGAGGAGAAGTCGCCTCATGTCACTGCCTCTGTGTTAGATGAGGGGCAAGTGCTGAGGCTGGGAGCACGCAGTGTGATATTGGATACCAGCTCTGCCCCTTATCCATGGCTTGTCTCTGTTTGTCCATCTGTAATGTGGGGATGATAAAGATGCCATTGGCCTTGTAAGTTTGTTGTGAGAGTTAAGCAAGATAACACAAGTGCAAATGTTTGGTACAGTGACTAACATGTAAGTGCTCATTAAACATTAGGTTTGTGTGTGGAACCCATGCATGGGTCCCCCTTATGCTATACACTTATCTGGGATCAGGAAGTGCCGATCAGTGGGCTTTTTGTTTTTATTTTTTTTAAATATATATTTTATTGATTTTTTATAGAGTGGAAGGGAAAGGAATAGAGAGTTATTAACATAGAGGAGAAACATTGATCAGCTGCCTCCTGTACACCCCTTATTGGGGATGTGCCCGCAACCAAGGTACATGCCCTTGACTGGAATCGAACCTGGGACCTTTCAGTCCGCAGGCCGACATTCAATCCACTGAGCCAAACCGGCTAGGGCTCAGTGGGCTATTGATTACCAGTTCTGTGCACCTCTTTCCTATGGTACGGTACGAGGAGCATGGCCAGAAGTGAAGGGATTCTCTTTTCACTTAAATTCTGAATCCCAGCGGGCATCAGGGGCCAAGCCAGGGGCTGTGAGGGCTGGAAGACGCTTCCTTTGCATCTCACTTTGTATCACCCCGTTCCCTTTACCTCACAGAGGAGCACTGCGGGCATTTTCAGGCAGAGACAATGAGTCACTGTGGAGGCAGCATCAGAATCTTGATTTCCTTCTATCATTTCCCTGCGAGGAGGCAGGTCATGCACCAGCAGATCTGCCGGGAAAGACTGGGTCCCAGCGTGATGTGGTGGCAAAAGCTCTGCCGCAGGAGCCACAGTGTAGGTGCGTCACTGCGGAAAAGCGGTGCCGCCTGTCTAGCCTCAGTTTTCTCATCTGTAACCCCGGGATAACATCACGCTCTCTCACTATGGCATGGAATTGTTAATGCTTACAAATGCTTCCTACCCTGTAAAAGGGGAGGCAGACGGAATGGAATATCTTCATGAAAAAGCCATCTCTTTCTGCAGAGATTTGGTTTCAGAAACAAACTTGCAGCAAAGGCTGGATGGGTGCATTTGGAGCTGGTTTCCGAGTGGGAGCAGGGGACCCCGCTCCAGAGACCCTGGAGTGGAATGAGGAGAATCTGAGCGTTACCCCAAGGCAGTGGCTAGCCAATGTTGGCAGGTGTCAGAATCCCCTGGAAGGCTGGATGGACCCCATCCCCAGTGTTTCCAAGCCTGTATGTGTGGGGTGGGGCCCGGGACTCGGCATTTCTAACACATACCCAGGTGGTGCTGAGTGCTGCCAGGCAGGGGCCACTCTCAGAGCACTAGGGCAGGCAGGAAGAGGGAGTCCTCCTTTGGAACCGAACAGGCAGTGTGAAGGTCCACGTGGGTAAGGTGGTTTGGGAGAAAAAAAAGTAGAAGACAGAAAAATTGGAATAATGTGCAGAATGGGCAGAACAAAGGGGGAAAAAAAGTCTCACTCCGAAACGTAGGCAAGTAGGGGGAAGTTGCTAGGTGATGGATGAGGGCGAGAGGTGGGTTTCCACTGTAGGAAAAACCAGGTGAGAGACGGGAGCGCAGAGTTGGAAATACACACATGTTTGGGGCGGTGGAAATTTCTCATTAAGCAGTGAGGGGTGGGGTGGTGGGGGCCCGGGCCGGGGCCGGGGGAGGGGTGGGGGTGGAGGAATGCCTCTGTCGAGGAAGGGGCCAGCTGAGAGGTGACAGAGGGGGTGATTCACTCGGGGCTTGGTGGTTGGGCTCGGTACTGCAGCAGGATAGAAATTGGGAGAAAGGAGGTGGAATTTGATGTGTGACCTGCCCCGTAGCTCTCTTGCTCTCTGCATTTATCACATCACATCACACCCAGCGAGACAGCCCCCTCCTCCCGGCTCATTAGGAGGCTTGGTTCCTGCTGTCGGCAGCTGTCTGGGGCAAGGTCTTTATGCTCCGTGCTCCCCGAGCGGCAGCCAGCCTTCAGCGGGCAGCAGAGCTCATTAGGAGAGGGCCTCCCCGGACACTTGATTTTACTGGCGGCAGGAAAGAGTTAATGCCTACGGCTCCGCTGCCCCCTGCACAGCCTCTGGGCCGTGGGGACCTCTCCCCGAGAGCGAGCTTGAGCCAAAGAAGCAGGGAAGCAGCTTCGCGGAGCTGAGGAGGAAGGTGCGGGAGGAGTGCCAGGCGAGCCGCGCTCAGGGGCACCTCCAGCATCCTGCCTATGAGGATGGGTGTGCAGGCTCTGCCCCGGAGCTGAGCTGAGCTGAGCTGAGCCGAGCCGCCGCCCGCTGGGTGTAGGCTGCTTCAGTATTTATTGGATGTGACAAACGGGAGAAGCGATTTCAGCGGGGCTGCTCGCTGCCCGGCGCAAGTGGTGGGAGGTGTATTGTGCATGCATGCATGTGGAGACCTATGTGCGTGCCCGCGGGTGCCTGCGTGTGCATGCACACATGCCCTTCGCCCGCCGAGGATTTGACTGCTAAACCGCTAAAAGCAAGGTCTGCTCTCTCCCCAGAGCTCCTTCAGCCACAGCCTCTCTGATCATCCCGTAGGCAGAGACCCGCAGGCCATGAGGACCGCTCAGAGACAGTGAGTACGGCTTTTTGCTTTTCCCTCTCTCGTTGCCTGCACGGGCTCATTGCATTATCCATATTTAATTAACCTGCCTCTCCATATTGATTGCTTTCTCTCCACCGAGGCTTCGTCTCTCTTCCCCTCTTTATAAATCTTTGCTCCTTGCTTTTAACCTCCTTCCCCCCCCCCCCCTCTCATTGAGCATCCTCTGTTTTCACTTGGACCCATTCTGTAGAGTCACCTGTAACTTGATGTCCACCTCGGAGGGCACATGAACTGTGGGTGTAATCACACTGTTGGGATTCTGGGTAACCGCAAACTCTGTCCCCCCAAAAGTCAAGGGCCAAATGGGGTAAGCGCCCCGAGGTGCTGGGGTGATGGGGAAGCTGGGTTAGAGGACCTTGCAGGTCCTCATTCAATGGGCTCCAAGGCTGAGCTCACAGAAGGGGCAGTGAGGGGTCTGAGTCCCTGGTGGGCACTGCTGGATGTGGGAGAGAGGGAGGAGGCATCTAAGCAGCTCCAGCAAGCCGGTGAGGGCTAGCTGTGGGAATGGGAAGGGTGACAAGGCAGTGGCAGGAGGCCTGGGGATACTTGCCCCAAACGACCTTGCCTGCTCTGTGCGTGTGGGTGGGAGTGCCTCGTTCTGCTCAGCTCCCGGGTAGTGAAGGCCCCTGGCCTGGGCTTCCCCCTCCTCTGGGCTATATCCCACAATCCAGAGAAAATGAGGCGGAGATGCCCAGAACAATGATTTCTAGAGCTCCCGACAGCTAGGAAAGGCTTTGATCTCCTGACTTCTGAGCAAGCAGGTGTACGGGGTGAGACCAGGATTAAGGAACTGCCCCTGCTGTCAGGGAACTCAGCCCTTGCCGTATCCTGGGGATGAGCCTTACACAAAATCGAACTATTATTTTGTGGGTTTTGTTTTTTTTTTAGTTTTAACATCTTGTTATTTTGTTCATTGTGATGTTATTCAAAAAAGGTATTTTAAAAAGTCTGCAAAGTGTTCCTGGTAATAGCAAAAGAATTTAAGTGGATTTTAGAAGGGACTTATCTGTCTCAAGGAGGTTTCTGTTAAGATGGATTCTGTGTTTGGTGTCAGGGTTCCCCAGGGGATTCCTTTTTCGGATAGACTGCTGTCTTCACAGGCTTTCCTACCGGTTCTCTTCCTGGGAACAAAGGGCTTGACGCCCCGAGAATGGGACCCTCAGCAGAGCGAGATTATCAGTCCATCAGCCTTCAACCTCTGTCCCCTTTTCCCGATGTCCCTCTGCTTCAGGTCGGGGACGGGCCAGTCAGGGGGCGCTGAGGCGGGCCAGGCAGCTTCCATAGGAGGGAGGAGGGGTGAGTTGGGGATTCATCTCGTCATTCTGTGTCTGGGATCCCTGCAAAGGAGCAAGCCTGTGCGGTGACAGCGCCTGACAGGCTTCCCCTGGAATCACCCAACCTTCCTCCCTCTCACGCCCTCCCGAGGCTCCCACACTCTCACCTCTGGACAGGTTCCAACCTTGGAGGGAGGTGAGAATCAGAGCAGTAGCCAATGGAATGTTTCTGGAGCAAGTGCCGTGTCCCTCCCATGTCCCCCTTCCTACCCTCCCCCCATTGGCTGTCTGGTCACAGGATCCCACCCAGGTAACTCAAAGAAAACAGTAATTTTTGGCTCACCAGGCCCAAGCCTCCCTCCCCTGGGGCACGTGCCCCACTTTACCGTTGATGGCCAATAGCGAGGGAGGTAGAAACTCCTGACCGGCAGGCAGCCATGTGAACTCACCCAACAATTTTTTCTTGTCCATCCTCGGTTCGTCTCCCTGTCTCAGGACGAGTAGAAGTTTGTGGGGAATGGGGTGTGAGTGGGGAGGTATGCAGTTGGCATAAAGCCCTCAGAAAGGATCTCTAGCACAGTCAGAGAGAGAGGGCGGCCCCCTCTTACGGCGGATTCTTTGATTTTAGGTGAAAGGCCGTGAAAGGGTAAACCCCTGTGCCCCGCAGTCTTATCTCCCGCCCTGACGTCCCTGCACACCGGCCAGAGGGTTAACCGTAAGCGGGTGCCTGTATGGCCGCCTTACTGATGCCACGCAGGTAACTGATGCCAACCTGTCCTTTTGCCCCTGCCCCTCTGCTCTTTCCCCACCTGATCTGCTGTTGGGGTAGGCCACTTGTCTCCGTCCCCCAGGCCTCCTGTGTAGACTGCGCTGTCCTCACCTGGGTGCTTCTTGCAAAGTTATGGCCTTGCAAGCAGAACCTGCCTTTGCACCAAGCTTTCCCATTGATCAGCAGGGTGAAATGTGCATGAGCTTGTATTGAACCATCAAGGGACTTCTATGAGTTACTGGGACAGGGAAAAAAGATGAGGGCTAGCCTAGATTTTTTTTTTTTAATCCTTACCTGAGGATATGCTTAGAGAGAAGAAGGGAGAGAGAGAAACATTGATGTGAAAGAGAAACGATCAGTTGCCCTCCACACCTGCCCCGACCAGGAATGTGCTCTCATCGGGAATTGAACCGGCAACCTTTCGGTGCACAGGAGGATGCTCAACTAACTGAGCCAGTTGGCCAGGCAAGATTTTTTTTAAAAGTAACTTTAACTCCGATTCTTGCTTTTGCCCCTATGATTTCAGACTGAGCTAAAAAATTAGAACGGAGGTCTCAGCTAGACAAGATAGAAAACCAAAACCATTTTGTTCCAAAGAATAATTTGTGGAAGATTTTTGCAAACTGTTGTTGTCTTGGTAACAAGTAGCACACTTTACTCTGGCCCCTGCTAACCCTTGTTAGATGGCTTGCATGAATCTGACATTTTTTGGAAATCCTCTTAATTGCTTTTCCGGGACACGACCTGGTGTCACAGCAGCCTGAGATTTGTAAGAGTGAGTGGACATGAGACGCTATGGCAGATGTTGTGAATGCCAGGAAATCCATGGCTTCGCAATGCACCTGGCTGAGATGGGAGGTGGGAGCACAAGATGTGCAGGCTCCATTTTCTGCAGGACAGCGGACATTTCTGGGAACTTGGGTGTCCCAGCCTTAAAAGACCCCTTCCTCAGAGCTGGGCAGTGGAAAACGAATGTTGCCCATGCTCACCAAGTATAATAACATCCCAGTGGGTGTTCCTTAGATTTCTGTGCATATTTGCCCTAGGGTAAAATCCCACTTGAAGTGAAAGGAAGAGATGGAAATGGATGACCTTTAACGTTTCTGCTCAGGCTCAGGATTTGTGAAAAAGAGGGAAGAAAAATCAGGCGGGAAGGACTTCCCTTCAACATGGAGAATAACATCTTCTAGGTCTGTTTCCAGGGCACATTGCTAGAGTGTGTGGTCCTGATCTGATTATACCAAACACCTGCCACTTACCTTTGCCCTCCATGCCCTCCATGCGAGGAGTTGCCAGGGTTAAAGTTCGGACATCAGTAAACCTATTTTGTCCAGGGCCAGAAAGTAAATATTTTCAGCTCTTGGGCCATATAGTCTGTGTTGCAACCACCCAACTCTGCTCTTGTGCACAGATGGGAGTTGTATTCTTATAACACACAGTTGTTGTGTTCTTATGTAAACAGATGGGAGTTGTTGTGTTCTTATAAAACTTTATTTACACAAGCAGGCATCTTCCCAGGACTGATCTCTGGTTGAAGGTAAAAGGGGCTAATGTTGGGAATCAGAAAGAGATATAAACAATTTCTCATTGGATCCTCCACAATAGATAACTATTGTAAAGTTGTCTGGACCTTAGGGAAATAAAATGTATGAGAATTCTAAACATGTATGTTAAAATTTTAAGCATGCTGATTGAGAGATGCCAAAATACAAATAGAAATAGGCGAGCCTAGTTAAGCAGAGAAAAGAACTGACAAAGGGGACACTGGTTATCCATGGCTGAGTATTCCAATCTCCCTTCCTCTCACCGGCAATCCTTGCTGGTCTGTAGCCACTCATGTATATCCCTAGGTTTGTGGGATGAGAGGAGGAACATGAGTCCCACTTGACCTACTTGTACACCCCAAGCTTTGTGCTCTGAGACCCTGTGAAATGCATTCCTGCTCAACCCTTCACTCTGTGGGGGCGCTACTCTGGGGCCTTTGCATCCAGGAGCTGTGGCGGCTACCGCTTCGCCTTCCTCATGGAGAACAAGATGTGGTTTGTTATTTTGTCATCACTGTATTTCCCTTCCCTGCAGAGAATCCTAATTTAGAAATTCTTCCCAGCTCACGCCCTTCATTGACTTATCATCAACTTGCATGTCAGCTCTAAAAAAGCTAGGCCTCTCGGGGCAGGGTACCTATTGCTATTCCTGTCTTCGAGATAGGGAGTGTGTATATCCCCTGATCTTCTAGGTGATTCTCCTCCCGAAGGAGAAATCTTCAGGGGCCCCTGGGAGCAGGGTAGGGTCGGGGAGGTAGCCCTGGCTTCTGCAGCAACAGCTCCAGGGGCCCTCTAAGGGGCTGACAGCTCTTGTCATGACAGGCCAGGCCCTTCTTGTTGCAGGAACAAAGGGATGAGGACTCGCCTGGGATGCCTGTCTCACAAGTCAGACTCGTGTAGCGATTTCACAGCGATTCTTCCTGACAAGCCCAACCGTGCTCTGAAGTGAGTAGTGTGGCCACTTGGGTGTCCCCAGTGCCCAGCGTGGGGCGCCCACCGTGTGGCCACAGAACCCGTTCTTCTCTAGTGAGCTGTTGGCCAGATGAACCGAGGGACAATGCATTCCTGCCTCTTGGCAGCTCCCTTTACACACCTGAATGTGACTGACAGGATGCTTATTATCCTTTCCCCGTGTATCACTTAGTATGCCTTTTCATTCCTTTCCCTTTTAAGAAAATCATTTTAACCATCACTTTTCTAAAGCTGCCGTGGAGGGTATTTCTTGGTCCTACTTAGTTGTCAAGCTGAGCTCTCAATTTGGAAATGAACGCTCCAATCTATTTGAAAAAACCTGCTTAGGTTGAGATAATCTGGATTCAGTGCCTCTCCTCTGCAGGCCCAGAGTTAAAATGATGTCACAGATGTCACCTCATTTAACCCTCCTAGGGTTCCATGATGGGCGTCATTGTCCCTATTACAGAGGTGGAGAAAGTAGGGTGGCAGAGAGGGAAGTCAGGAGCTCAGCCTAACTTTTCTGACTCCCAAGACCAGTTTCTTTCCATGGTGATCTTGACATTTTTAAACCACACAATTGCTTAGCTTTGTTCTTTGACTGAAAGCTGATATGCTAAATTCCCAGAATGCCAATCCCGAGATTCCTGCATCCATTTCTTAAGAATGTCACAAATTACAGTGACAGAATTTCAGGAATCCAGGTATGGGTCTTCATTTACCCTGCGTTGTTCTGATCTGTTCTGTGGGCAAACCTCAGTGGTGGCTAAAGGCGAGAGAAGGTCATTTCAAAAATAGTCAAGAGACATGGTTTTTCTTTTCTAGGAGACTTTCCACAGAAGAAGCCACCAGGTGGGCCGACTCCTTTGACGTGCTTCTCTCCCATAAGTGTGAGTAGAATTCAGGTTTCGCCCTGTCTGGGCAAGCCATTCATTTATTAAAACATGCTGCCTACCAGGCATCAGGCAGGGGCTGTGCAGCTCCAGCCCCTGCCCTCAGAGCCTTCTGTCTGGAAGGGCATATGGGTCACAAAACATAATTTACATGCAGTGGAAAGAGGGCCTTCTTTTCTGTTTTCTGGGTTGAAAGTAAGGTTCTAAGAAGCCTTTATGTTCTCAGCAGGTTTAGCAAGAAAAATGTGAGCTTAGGGAGTTGGAATAATGGATCAAAGGAACAAGAGAGTCTAGGTTCCATCCCAGATCTCATTTATAAGATGAAAGAACTCCACTCCCCAACCTCCACCCCCGGCCAGGCCAATGGAGTGCCTTGGGTTACTTGTCAAATGCATATCCTGTGCATTTTGTCGTTCGCTGGAGTTGGCAGATTTTTTTCTCTCATTGCTTTTTATTTTGGGGGGTTCACTACCCCAGCTGCATCATGCCCCTGTTTCTGACTGGGTGCAAGTCTAACTAGAACACACATCCTTTTCCCCATTTCCTCATCTTTTAAGCCTTGTGTTTCTCACAAAGGCAGACATAGTTGTGGGAAGGGAACCTTGATTTTGGCCACGCTTTTCAGTCCTGGCTTTTTTTATTTTTTTTTTATTTTTTTTTTTACCTTAAACAAGTCCAAGTTCACTAGGCCTTAAAATCCCAGCAGCCTTAAATACATGGGCGTGGGAGAGAGAAGGGTCTTTTGAAGAGAAATGGCTTCACACGGACAGCTGGTGCTCCTCTTCCATGTGCCTTTTCACCATTAGAAGTCCCGGTGGGTCTGGGAGCAGAAGGACCGCTTTGAGTTTAGAGAATTGTCTCCAGTGAATTGGGGAACATGTTTTCGCAGAGTGACGTGAAGAGCATTGGTTGGTAGTCAAACCTATCTTTTCAGTTTTGACCCGGCTCAGCCACTAGATGGTTTGAGTGGCCCTGACGGAGTCCCTCGGTCTTCAAAAGATGTCTTCACAAGTGATTTTGCTTTCAAATGGGTGAGCAGTTTTCTCTGCCAGAATCCATGATCCTAATGCTTATTAACAAACTAGAGGCCCGATGCATGAAATTTGTGCAAGAGGCTCGGCCCTCACAGTCCTGGCTTCATCCAGAAGGTCATCTGGAAGGACATCCAAAAGGTCGTTCAGCTGTCTGGTCTAATTAGCATATTACACTTTTATTATTATAGATGCTTCTGAATAGATTTTAAAATGAAGTGTGGAATCTAATGAGAAGCACATATTGTGGCAAGTAACATTGTGAGATTGTCGTTTTAGTGTTGTAGGGATTATACTGAGGAAGGAAAATAAAGCAGCATACTACAGCATATATAACATATGGCTACAGCCCCAAACAGAAGCTTATGTGGTGAATCTGCTAAAGCAATGGCATATGTAGGATAATACTTAAGATTTGACAGTAAAGCTTTTTTATTTTTTATTTTATGAGGCCATTCTGACTTTCTGGAGGCACATTGGGCTACATGAGTGTCATATCAATTTACACCTTTACGGGTTGGATTTGGCTCAAGGTCATCTTGAAGTCTCGCTTCTATTTCAGATTCATGACTGACTCACTCAGTTCAAGTCCCTAAGGCTGTTTCCTTATTCTGAAATGGGGCTAGGAATACCTGTGTGCTAACCATCACCCAGATACGAGAATCTTCAGAGGAGGACACCTTTGGATAATTTTGGGTTTTCAACTCCAAGGTGTCTTTTAAGAATATGGTGTTTTTAAGCATGATGCTTTTAATTATCAAATGCAAAATAAATGTGAGAATCAGGTTGCGAGGTTGCTGCCAATTGAGTTATTAGAGACAGAGTTTGGGTGTAAACTGAGTGGCTGGAAGCTTCAGGCATTTGGGGGTTGCTGCAGTGGTAAGAGCTGGAGATGCAAGAGGTTTGACTTTGTTTGATTTAGTGTCTCTTAGACCGGAAGACACTTGGTTCTGCTGTTGTTGGGATACTTTTGGTTTCCAGGAATCCAATGACACTCTTCTGAGATGGGGACTCCACTAAGGGGCTGGAGGCTGATGCCAGATTGCTTCTTTGGAAAGCTACAATGGCAATAGGCTTTGGACTGTGGCATTCTGTGATCCTCCTTGGAGTCCGATGTTCTGTTTTTATTTGTTTATTATGGGAATAAAAAGCAAATGGAGCGAACGCCTTTAAGAAAGGGGTCTCTGTGCAGGGGTCACTGGCAGCATTTTAAGGTTTTAGGACTTGAATGCTTCCTCCCCGTGAAGGTGGCGTGGGAGTCAGAGCCCAGGTTGCCTTGAAGAGCCCTGACAACTTTCTCTAAGTCTGACTAATTTGGGTTAGTATTGTGACTCAATTAGGGCTCATGAGGCTTTTCCAAAGGGATCGCGTGTGTGCTGGTCCCTTAGGAGGGACAGCAGTTGATCAGAGGTGTACAGGGCTTTCAATTAAGACAATAAAATATCCTTAAAAAAAGTAAAGAAAGGAAAATTGCTGAATGACTGGGCTCCAGAAAAAAATGTGCATTAATCTAGAACCTACTCTCTGGCAATTCTCCACATCCCGGCAGCTGTCCCTCCTGAGTTTTCTATTTCAGAAAAATTCAAATAATTATTGCTGTTCCCGTGCTCAATCTACAGAGCTTTGCCATCCCTGCACTGCAGGGTATTTTGGGCAGTCATTTGTTTCACAAAAGGTGCATTTGAGTGTTTACTGCGTACACAATCTACGCCACACAGCTGGTTGGCTGATGAATAGAACAGTCCCTCCCGGGTGGAGAATGCCACTTTCTGAGAAAACAGGCAAGCATTCCCTCAACACAGGAAATAATACAGTTTGCTGACTGCAGATGGGGGCCCCCTCAAGATTGCAGATAGGACCCCGACATTCAGTGCCTGTCTTAAAGTCCATCTTGTTCATATTAGAAGTCTTCACTTTGGGAAGCAAAGGGCTGCTTTTAGTTGAGAGCATTGCTTCCGTTTAATCAGGGAACATACTTCCGTACGGTTAGGAAGAACTTGGCTGGTAGTCAGATTTTGACCCAGCCCTGCAACTCAACAGCTGGGCAGCCTTGGCAGAATCCTTGGAAAACCTGTTTCCTCGTCTCTACAGCGAAGGATCTGGAGTAGGATGTCTCAGAGGCTGGATTCAGACACACCCCTCCCGCGCCCCCCCCCCCCCCCCCCCCCCCATCTAGGATGCCATCTGCAGTAACCATCGAGGCTCGGTAATAACTAGTCACCCTAGGCAGGTGGTTGGAGTCAGTGCTGCCTGCAGGGTTATATAAAACTGCTTCAAAGCTAAAATGGCTCGAGCACCCAGAAGAGGGGTGACTGCATCTGTGTTATGAAGTCTCCTCTCTCCATCAGGGTCCCACTGTTCCAATCAACGAATTCCAATTACAGGGGTTAAAAAAGCAAGACCGTTAGTTCTTAAATCTGAGAATGAAAAAAAAAAAAAAAGTCTGGGAGGCAAATATTTGGAGCAGTCTTATTTGCAATCACATTTGCTGACAAGTGCAGTATGAAGCTGAAGAAGCATCCGTGGAGGTTGGGGAGATAATCGCTTGCTAAGTGCTCTCTTTCTCTCTCCTTTAACTAACAAGTGAAAAATGAAATTAAAATTGCTGATGTCTTCATTAGATAGGGAAGGATTTATAATGTGTGTTAATTTGGCATCATTTTCCTGTTCATCCAGTGACAATTAGACTGGGTGTCGAGGTTGGGCATGTAGTGTGACCCCTCAGAGTGTGTGTGTGTGTGTGTGTGTTCGCGTGTGCGTGCACAGACACCCAGAATCCTTTCTGCTTCAACAACTCATACCCTGAATGTGAAGGCTCCCAGCTTGTGGGACATCTTTTCTGACTGGCTGCTGGAGAGCAGGCCCCAAACTGGGTGTCTTCTGTTTGCATTTTTCAAGAAGTTCAGACACATCCTTGTAATTTGTTCAGCTTTCAGTTCAGGGGTGGGAAAGTCTGGCCCACGGGCCCTATGAGGCTAAAGAAAGCATTTGGTCTGGCCCTGCCAAGGCAGTAAGGGCAAGTTAATTAAATGTTTGACTAAATATGCAGGCTAATTTTTAAGTTGATAATTTTGTATGGCCTGCGAATGATGTTATAAATATTCAAATGGCCCTTGGCAGAAAAAAGGTTCCCCATCCCTGTTTTAATGGGACATCCAGTCCTTATCTCCAAATCAGTCCTCCCTCCCTCCCTTCCTCCCTCCCTCTTTCTTCTTCCTTCCTTCATCCCTCACTACCTCCTTCCTTTGTGTTTTGGACATAAAAATTGGATTCATTCTACTTTTAAGGTGAAGGTGTAGACAGGGTTCCTTCCCCTTTCTTCTCGCCTCTTTCAGCCTGATCCTACACCTGGATGACAGAGCCTCACCCTGGGCATCTCTTTGGTCCTTAGGTTTGTTTTACTGTTTGCATGGAGCATGGAGGGTCGATGCTGACCTGTCCCCACTAGGCCTAGGGAAGGTGTGGTTAATGGAATAGCACGATTGAAAGCTCTTTTGTGTTTGCAGAGTTGGCATCCGTCTCTGAGAAAAGGAGACCAATAAAGAAGCATTTTGTTTTTAAAAATTAGCCTCCTTAGGGATAACAGTTAAAATATAGAAAAATGTAATGACTTGATTGGGTCACACAGAAAACAAACAAACAAACCCTAATATTACCAGCTCACGAAATTTCTTAATTATCCACCCAAATGGTCTTTAGCTCTAGAATCTACAGTTCCGCAATGAGGTGTCCATTTGCTGCACAGCCCTCCCCACATACCTCTCCAAATCAAAGGTTCAGACCAAACGGTGTAACTCAAAGTGTGATCCAAGGAAGGCAGTCCCAGGGGCCGCGGGGGGCTGGGGAGAAACCAAAATTCTTGGTTGTGCCTCAGCCCCGCTGAATCAGAATCTCTGGCAGGACAGGAGGGGCAGCAATCTGTTCCCTCCCCCTCTTCCCCCCACCAGCCCTCCAGTAACATCTGTG